CGCTCCCTCCGGAGGCTCCAGGGGAGGGTCCATCCTGCCTTGTCCAGCCTCAGGGGACTCCAGGCATCCTGGGCTTGTGGCCGCGTCCCTCCATCTCTGCCTCTGTCGTCACGTGTCCTCTCCCTGTGTCTGTCCAGATGTCCCTCTTATGAAGACAACAGTCTTTGCATCAGGGCCACCCAACCCCGGTGTGACCCCATCTTAACTAATTTCGTCTGCAAAGACCCTGTTTCCAAATGAGGGGCTGTTCACAGGTTCCCATGGGTGCACCTCTGTCCCCACGGTCCCTCCTCCAAATCCCGACCCCCTGTTGCTCACCAGCTGGCCTTCAGTCCCTGCCTGGCCCTTGGGCCCTGGGATCTGACCCTGGCCCCGCTTTGCTGCCTTGTCCCCGTGCGTCCCCCCGAGTACCACCCGGCCTCAGTGTCAGTAGATGAGGAATGGGCCCCCGAGGCTTCCAGGAAGGAAAGAGCCAGCACCTTCCCTCGGATCCCTCCCCTTCCCCCCCTTCCTTCTTGTCCTTGGGGCTGGCACCCCATGGAGGGGGCTGTCGAGGGGCATGTGCTCCCCTGGGGGTCCCAGGAGAGCTGACCTGTGCCCCCGAACTCAGGCAGGACCTCAGTGCGGGGCTGGAGCTCCCAGGACAGGCGGTGGCTCTCACCCCGACGTTGAGCTCCGTCGGCTTGGCCCCCTGGCCCGAGGCTGCCCGTCTCTGCCCCACTGACCCCACCCATCCCGTCTCAGCCGGGCGCCTCTGCCTAGGAGCAGTGGAGCCCCTCCTGGACGCCCTGCTCGTGTCCCTTCCTGGGCCGCCTGCTGGAGGCTGCCCTCAGGCTGGCTGTGACCTGAGGTGAGGAGGCAGCTCCCCACCCCAGCCGTGTGTGGATTCCGCGGACGGTTCTTCCCCCAGACAGTCCAGGGCGGCCAAGTCGGGGCCTGGCCAGGCCTCCGATTCCACCAGGGCCTCTGCCCTAACAGCCAAGCCTTGGGGAGCCCTGGCCGGCCCCTGCTCTGCCCCCAACCCAGGACCCCAGGGCTGTTGATCAGAGCCCAGTGGAGGGGTCGCCGGAGGGGCTGCTGTCTTGTGCCCCGTGGGGGCCAGCAGGTCCCTGCTGCTGGGGGACACTGTTCCTGGACGGGGGGTGTGGCAGCCTCTTCCTGGCCTGGCGGGACACAGGTGAGGTAACGAGTGGCGGGCAGTCCATGCAGCTGCTGGGGTCCGGGCACCACTAGGCAGAGGGTCCGGGCGGCAGCTCAGAGTGTGTTGGGGGCCGAGCCGACAGCTCATTGTGGGCTGACACCAGCAGCCTGTCCTGGGGCACCGGCCCCGGGCTGAGGACCGGCTGGGGCGATGGGCCGAGTGGGCTCATCGGTGGGGTGGCCGTTGTCACCTAGGTTCAGGCTCTCCCAGATCTCGGCCTCATCCCGCGTCCCACCCCTGTTGTTGTCCTGCGTGGGCCACTGATACCTTGATCTCTCTCTCCTGTAATGACTCATCTGAAAACCTGATCTCAGGAGGAAATCCTCTGAACTGAAACCGCGGTGTTTGTGAAGTGCCGGCCCCTCCCCGCGAGAGCGCCCACACTTCTCCAGTCAGGAGACTCACGGCTAAAAATACACAGCGCCCACTGCAGGCGCTGGGCTCTCACCGCCAGGCGGGGTCTGGGTTACGTGCCTCCGGCCCAAGACCACACTCAGTGCCCTCGGGGGTGGACCCCGGGGCAGCTGGAAGCCCCCAGGGCCGTGGTGCTTTCGTGCTCTGGAGCTGGGGGCCAGGGCATGGTCCAGAACGCAGGACCGCGGGGCGGGGCAGCCAGCCAAGGCCGGAAAGCAACAGGATGGGGGGGGGGCTGTGTCTGGGGGGCTGTCCCAGCACCTGGGGGGACGGAAGCAGGAAGCCTGAGGCTGTGGTGGCGCTGCGGCAGAGAGAGGTGACAGGACTGGGGTATCAGAGGAAGGGGGGCACCGTAGGGGTGGGCCCTGGGGGCGTGGGGATGGTGGTGGGCACAGTATCCCCCACTCCTCCCCAGCCGCTGACGACTACTGACCCATGTTCTGTCTGTGGATGTGCCTGTTCTGGACATTTCACATCAGTGGAATCACACACCGTGTGTCCTTCTGTGTCTGGTTCTCTCACTGAGCGTCATGTGTTCAAGGTCCATCCACGGCGTGGCTGTGTCAGGGCCTCACTCCTCTTCATGGCCGCGTCATATTCCAGTGTGTGGGTGGACACGTTGTGTGGATCCGTTTGTCTGTCAGTGGACACTGGGGTTGTTTCCACCTTTTGGCTCTTGTGACTCATGCTGCTGTGAACGTGCGTGCGCAGATTTTGTGTGGATGCATGTTCTCAGTTCTCCTGGATGGACACGTGGGAGCAGATGGCTGGGTCTGTGGAAATTCTGTGTTTAACCGTTTGAGGACCTGCCGACTCTTACAAGTGGCTGCACCATCTTACATTCCCGCGCACGAGGATCCATCTCCTGCCTCCTGCTCCATTGACCCTGGTCTCAGTTCACAGTGCCTGGTGGCCGACTTGCCCACGTTCCTGCCCTCCCCACACCCCCTCCAGGCCCAGGTCTGAATGCCCTGCTTGGTCAGAGAAGCCTCTGGGGTCCCCAAGGCTTCTCTGTTTGTGAAAAGAGAGGATGCACGGGCCCTGGTCACAGCCCCCTGGGTCACAGCCCTCTGGGTGTCGGGCCCCCAGCCAAGTCTGGAGCCTTCCTCTAGGTCACGAAGGCTCTTTCTCTGAAGGACTGCAGGTGACTCCGCGGGGCCTGGCCTCCTGGGGCTGCCACTCAGATCAGGTTCCACAGGGGCTTATGGACACAGCCCGACCTGGGTTCCTGGGACTGGGGTCTCCGGGGCTCTGGGAGAGGGCAGGAGGGGCCGTGCAGGCCAGAGGGATGCAGATGAGGGGTGAATGCAGGGCCAGCCTGCTGCTGCTAGGGGTCCCTCGGGCACAGTGCACCCCGAGGACGGCCCGGAGGGTCCCTGGGGAGCTGCCCACAGCGCCCCCTCGTGCTCGTTGGCCCGTAGGCTCTGGCTGGTGCCTTCCAGGGGAGCAGCCCGGGGCTCCGTGGCAGCAGAGCCAAGAGGTACCACAGAATGGGAAGGGATCTGCTTCCCCTGGGGACGTGGCTGCTGAGAGAGGGAAGCTGTGGCAGGGAGGGGTGCCCCCAGGGTTTAACAGGGCGTCTCGGGCGGGGTCGTTCCTAGGGTTGGCTGCAGAGAAGGGGCGGGTGGTCGAAACCCGGAGACAAGAGCAAGCCAGCCAGCGCCCGGGGTCAGCTCTGTGAGCTTTCCCTGTTGAATAGGGATGGTTCCTGCCCCTTCCTGTCCCAGGTGTCGGGACAGACCCCCCCTCAGTCACTTAGGCAGCCACTGGATTGCAGAGGCCCCAAGCTCTGCTGGGTGCCTGGTGGGCCTTGTCCCTGTCCCCCAGACAACCCATTCTCCAGCTGAGCAAACTGAGGCTCAGAGGAGCTGAGGGGCCCCCGAGTTGTCAGAGGTTATGCAGCTGTTAGGCGGCTGACCAGGTCTGGACCCTGTCTGCCTGACCCTGGAATCTTTATAAGGAACAGCGGAGACCCCAGATCATGGAGTAGCCGTGTGGTCATCGAGGACCCCAGGTCATTCCACTTGCAGCCTCTGAGTCCGTGTCCCGTCGGGTCTCAGCCTGCGCGAGGCTGGAGGGCGCAGGCAGGAGGGGGCCGGGGCCTCCGGGGATCCAGGTCTCTGCGGGCGGCGAGAGGTAGCGTCCTGCCAGCCGGGAAGAGCCAGGAGCCTGAGCGGTCGGCTGGAGGCCTGGAGCAGAGCAGCCACCCCGCAGCCCCCTGCGGCCTTCTCGAAGGGCCCGGACTCGTCTGTGTGCCGCCCTCGGCCGTGGGCCCCTTTCCTGCCGCCTGACCAGGAGCGCAGGGGGAGGCGCCCCTCCCTGCCCCTGCGGGATTGCACAAGCTGCCGCGTGCAGACGGTGATTACTGGAAGTCCCGAGGATTTCTTCACTGAGGCTTGGCCGGGCCGCCTCCCCTTCCTGCCTCCCTCGGTGATTAACGTCCGTGTCCGGCCGCCGCCTGCGAGGAGCCAGGGCCAGCCTGGGGTCGCTGCTCACAGTGGCGGGGGTGGGGCTGGGGGGCTCTGTCACAGGCCACAGGGCAGATGGAAATCGTATGTGGCCGGAGTCAGCCCCTGTGCCTTTCCCCAGGGAACGTTCTCAGTGGGGTCACTGTGTGTCTTTACTCTTAGCCAGGTCTGAAGGCTCTTCCCGGCTCAGCTGGGCCCCGACCACCCCGGAGACCCTTGGGCAAGCCTCGCCTGGCTGCAGAGGGACAGGGTGGCCCGTGTCCCCTGTGGGCGCCCAGCTTGGAGGTGCCAGCCGGGTTGGACTCAGCCTCCCAGCCTCAGACGCGCCTGGTCAGACAGCCAGGCGTGGGCCGTCCAGGGGTCCCTTCGTGGGTGGCAGGAGCTTGTTCTGTGGGCCAGGAGGCCCAGGCGGTGCTGTGAACAGCAGGGAGGGGATGCGGCGGTGGGGCCCAGCCACACTGAAGGGGCTGCCCTCACCCCAGAGCTCCACCCGAGAAGCTCGTCTTAGTTCTGCCCCCGGCACAGCTCCCTGTGGCCAGGAGCCCTACCTGGTGGCGCTTGATGCCCAGCTGGGATCTGTGGTCAGGGGTCCAGGCCCAGTGTCCCCAGGAGGGGCGGCCAGGCAGCGATGGGGCCTCCCCTGTGTGGACTTGGAGCCTAGAGGCTGAGCGGGCTGCCACCCTGGCAGTTGAGGGACCCCCTCCCCAGCATAGCCCCTGGAGAGAGGCTGGGAACCAGAGGCCCCAGCAGCACTGCAGAGTTGAGGACCCTTGGCTCACACCCCCGTTCTTGTGGGCTGGGCGGTCAGGGTGGGCTAGCCCGGCTGCCCCTCAGCCCACTGTCCCTTGTCCCCAAGGAGGGCACCTCACCCGTTGGGGTCAGAGGGCGCCCTCAGGACATTCTGTGTCTTTCTCCAGGTCATGATGCCGCCCCCGCGGAGCAAGAAGCCCAGATAGACGCCCCCGCGGCCCGGGTCGAGGAGCCGCCCGATGCTGGCAGTGGGGCCCGCCATGGACGGGGAGTTCCCTCAGCACGAGCCCCCGCCGACGGGCAGCGTCCTGTACAGCCCGCCGCCTCTGCAGACCCCGCTGTGCGGGTCCAGCGTCCAGGTGAGCCCCGGCGCCCCGGGGTCGGCCTTGGGGTGGGACGTGGCCTCCCCTTCTAGACCTTGAGCGAGTATCAAAGTCCCCAGCTTTGCGGGAGGACCCGGGGGGGGGGGTCACGTCTGCCCCAGAGATCCCCAGACATGAGCCACTAGGTTTCTTTTGGAAAGGCCACAACTGGCCCCGGGGAGACGCTGGGGCCTGGGCTGCCGCCTTCACCTGCAGGACGTCGAGGGCTGGGACTCCTGTGACAGGTCACAGCCGTCCATTTTTTCTTTAATGTTTTTTTCTTTTTCGTTTCGTGGACTTCATTTCTTACACGGTTTTAGGTTTACAGGAATATTGCACACAAAGGTCCCACATCCCCCCAGTGTCCCCATGGTTAACATCTCGGTTAATGAGCGTGTTACGTTGTTACAATGATGAGCCGATATTGATACATTGTCAGTAACTGAAGTCCACGGTTGACACTGGGGTCCCCTCCTGGTGTTGGACGTTTCACAGGTTTGGACAAATGGATAATGACGTGTTCACCGTCACAGTGTCACACAGAGCAGTGTCACTGCCTCAAACATCCTCTGTGCCCCACTATTCACCCCCCTACCCCTGGGACCACGGATCTTTTTCGGGTCTCCATAGTTTCATCTTTTCCAGGACGTCCTGTAGTTGGAATCACAGTGTGTAGCCTTTTCAGACGGGCTTCTTTGAGTTTGTCATGTATATTTAAGGCTCCTGCGTGTCTTTTCGTGGCTTGAAGCCTCATTTCTCTTTAGCGCTGAATAATGTCCCGTTGTCTGGACAGACCGCAGTCTATTTGTCCATCCCCCACTGCAGGGCGTCTTGGCTGCTCCCAAGTTTTGACGACCGCAATAAAGTATCCTAAGTAATAAAACGACCATAGATGCCGGCCGGGCCTCCTCATAGGACAGAGGGTACAAGAGCCCCACGCAGAGAAGGGTCCAGAATTCTCCAGCAAGTCAGGCCTGGAGCCCTCCATTCCTGGGAGAAACTGGGGCTCTTTCCCCTGTAGAAACGAAAACAAACCGTGTTTCGTGGTGGGGAAACTTGAGCTGCCGGGAGGCTGGGCGGAGAGCAGGTGGGGTGCCAGGCGCCAGAGGACAGCTTGGGGTGCAGCAGCGACGGGGGGGGCTGCCGTAAGTCTCTCCTTCAGTAAAGAATTGGCTGCTTCCTCTCCCTTGGTCCTACTGGGATAGGGCCAAGGGGGGAAGGCCGGTGGGGAGAGAGAGCGAGAATCGAGCTTGGGTTTTGGAGGAGCCGGGAAATGGGCCACTGGGGTCAGAGGGAGCTCAGGGTCGAATGCCTGGAACCATCAGGAGGCGCCCCGGCCCATAATTGGAGCTTTGGAGAGGGGCTGGGACAGCGTGCACGGACCCAGAATTCACTCCCTACCCAGATGTGCCCACGTGGTATCCTTATGGGATAGGGCACGGAGCACAGAGTTACAGAGGGGGCGGGGAGCAGAAATGAGTTAGGACTGAAGCTACACTTGCAGCTTCAAAGCCTTGGCTGACGTCCAGTGCCTCCGGCCAGCCTCCTCTCTCCCCATCCTGTTGAAGCCATGTCCACACTTCCCCTGACCCTCAACGTCCCCCGCCTCACTCCGAGCCGCCCCCTGCCCATCTACATGGCCGATGATGCCTTCCCGTCCCCGTGTGCCAGCCAACACGTGGCAATAAGTGGGCTCATTCCTGGGCTCTATTTCGCCCCGTCTCGTCGGTTCAGAGCACAGGCTTGTCATTCTTAATAACGCCACAGGATTCCTTCTTCTCCACATCCCATAATTTGCTTAATTATTTCCCTATTGTCGGGCCTTTGGGGCAATTCCAATTTTTTACGGCTATAAATAGCCATGCTGAGTCTTCCTCCCCCTCACGGATGAGTCCCCAGGGGTGTGCTTCTGAAATAGAACTCCTGGGTCAGAACGAGTGCCTGGCGGGTTTGCAGAGGATGGAGCCGTTCCGCAGGGTATCTGCTCCTGCCACATTCCCTGTTGGTGACCCAGGAAGCCGGCTGACGGCCAGGACAGCCTGTGGGGACCACAGGGGCTCAGAAGCTGGAATTGAGGGAGGGACATTTGGGCTGCAGTAGGGACCCTGGTGCAAGGGAGGTGCAGCATCGAGCCGCGACTTTGGCTCCAGCCCCTCTCCAGCAGGCAGAGCACAGCGGAGCAGACTGCGCTGCTCTCCCAGGCCGGGTGGCCCCTCCCCAGGGTGTGCACCGAGTGTGTTCCTCCCGGCCGCCCCCCATGCCACACCAGGTCCAGCCTGGGAGTGGCCGGCAGACTCTGCAGCCCGTGCAGGCACTGGGCGTGTGCGCGGTCTGTGTGGGCAGCACCCTCCTCACCCAGGACTCCTGGGTCTGGGCTGGACCGAGCTCAGAAGGAGGGCTCCAGGGTGGAAGGCGCGGGGCGTGGAGCTGCCCCCAGGACTTTCAGTGTTGCTAAGGTGGTCAGAATTGCAAATAAAAACATAGACATCTAGTGAAATTTAAATTTCACATGAACACATATAATTTCTTAGTACATGTCCCATGCAATATTTATACTAATAATTGTTTATCAGAAATTCCAATTTCACTAAACATCCTGTGTTTTATTTGGCAACTCTCTTTTATCTGCTGCCCTAGCAGGAGTGTCATCTTTCTACATCAGCTTACACGGGGCAGCTTCGAGCTAGTGTCCCAGGGCCTGCACCTCCCTGGGACCGTGCCAGCCTCTCTGTCTCCAGGTGGAAAATCCCCAGACAGGCTCTGATTGGCTGGCTGGAGTCAGGTGCCCATCTCTGGACCAGTCACGTTCCAGGGGCCTACCCTTTGAAGAGAAGGAACTGCCCCCTGTGGCTGCAAGTGGAAAATCCCTAGGCAGGCTCTGATTGGCTGGCTGGGGTCAGGTGCCCATCTCTGGACCAATCGTTTACTAGGGCCTGCCCTCTAAAGGTGGAGCCAACCTTCTGGCTGCAGGTGGAAAATCCCAAGGAAGGCTCTGATTGGCTGGCCATGCAGTGCCACCCCTGTGGGGTGGGACTGTGGTGTCCTTGATTGGCATCCTCACCAGAGCCGCATGCTGGGGGAGGAGGTTGGGGGGCTGGGTAGACAAAGCCATGAGTGACCCCTGGCATCCTCCCTCCCCAGCCTGAGATCCTTGAAGACCTGGGAGTCCCCTGGCCTGGGAGCTCTTCAGGGGTGGCTCCAGGCCAGTGTGGGTGCAGATGGAGAAGGTTGGTGAGTGAAGGACCCCTCTTTTTTTTTTTTTTTTTGTGAGGAAGATCAGCCCTGAGCTAACATCCGTGCCAATCCTCCTTTTTTTTTTTTTTGCTGAGGAAGACTGGCCCTGGGTTAACATCTGTGCCCATCTTCCTCCACTTTATATGGGATGCCGCCAAAGTGTGGCCTGACAAGCGGTGCTTTGGTGCACACCTGGGATCCGAACCCGGGCTGCCAGTAGTGAAGCGTGAGCACTTAACTGCTGTGCCACAGGGCCTGCCCTGCAAAGGACCCCCTTGGTCGCTCCCACCCCGGAAACCCCCGGCAGCCCTGAGACCAGCTGTGCCCCTTCTGGGCCCACATTGCACGCCTGCTCCCTGGACTGGCCTGGCTGAAAGTGCTTGTCCATGCCCCAAGACCATTTACTCTAGTTCATCTAGGAGGCCGAGCACGGTCTGGAGTCAGAGTTCTGCTCTGGAATGTTCCGGAAGTGCCCGTGGCCTTGGGAAGTTCATGTTTCTCTCTGGAGCTGGATTTCTCTTAAATGGGGCCGGAGGGGGGATGTGACACTAAGCCAGGGCCCTGGGGAGAAATGGAGGTGCCTGGGAAGACCCCACCCTGCTCCCCCAGTCCATGGTGGTATAGCTTCCTTCCGGAGTCTTCCATGATGGTATGTGAGAGTGTTCGCGCCACCGGCCTTCGTGCTCGGGAGTGGCCCTGTGCTTCCTTTCCCCCCAGCTCTTTATTTTGATAACTTTATTTTGCAGCCTGTGCAAAACTGAAAGAGCAGGCGCGGCCCCTGGGGCCTCCGCCAGTCGATAACGGCTCCCCGCCTGTCTCGCCCCTTCCTCCTCATGCGGTTCTCGGGGGCTGGACCTCTGGACGCTGGCAGGCCCCCGCGGGGGGCCCAGGGGCAGGTCGCAGTGATGGGAAGTCACGGCACGCAGAGGGTACAGGAGGGCGCCGAGGCGGTTCCGGCCATCTGGGCTGGGCCAGCTCTCAGTTAGTGAGTCCTGCGGACAGGGAGGAAGCAGCGGCCTCGCAGGGAGCAGGGCTGGCGTGGGTCGGTGGGGAGGCTGCTGGGCCAGCTGGGACAAGCGGGGACGGTGACCGCAGCCAGCAGGCCTCTCCCCAGGGACGGCCAGGGGCCTCCCTGACGGGGTCCCCTGCAGGCCATGTTGGGGGTGGGGCTGGCTGTGGAACAGCGGCCCATCTAGGGCAGGGGACCCCTGCTGGGCAGGCCCTTGTGTGGAGGTGGGACGCACCCCCCTCATTCTGCAGAGGCACGTGAGTGTCCCTGTCCCACACCCCCAAGCTGGGCCTGTCAGATCCCAGCGCAGGGCCCCTCGTGCCCCCGCTGACCTCAGGCTCCCCCTTCCAGCCTCCCACTGGCACTTCCCAAAGCAGCTTCCCCCGAACCCCCGCCCGTGCCGTGCTCGTGGGCCAGCCAGGCCTGGTCGATGCCGGCAGCCCCCTGAGCCCGTGGGAACTCTGAGAAGGCCGGGATCCCGACCTGCCGGGGAGGGATGGGCCACGAGGGCTTGTCTGGGGCAGGGGCCCGTCCATGGTGCCAGTGAGAGCCCCTTGCCCTGACTGGGGCCATTGCCCCTCTGGCGGGCTGCACGTCTTTCTCATGGGGGCCTCGCCCAGCAGGGACTTGCGCCATCCTGCTTTGCATACGGCTGCGTCCTCCACTTTCTAGAATGGTGGCCTCCAGGCGGCAACCTGGGGTCCTTGTGGAATGCAGGTTCTCGGGCCCCAGGCCTGGAGTGAGAACCTCGGGTGGGCCAGCAGCCTAACCCTGCATGCCCGCTGTCTCTCTGCCCCGTCTCGAGTCCCACATGTGTATTAATGGACACCTTCATCTTCACTGCAACCCTCTCGATCGGTTCTGCCACGCAGACGGGGAAACTGAGGCACAGAGTGGTTTACAGGTGACCCAGCGTGCACTCGGCCTCTTGACCCCAGTGCAGCGGGGCTGGGCCGCGTGTCCCCCCTCCTGACCTCATGCCCCTCTGTTTCAGAACGCCATGCTGCACTGCCCGTGCTGGCACCCCTTCTCGGCCTCGCAATATCCAGCCTTCTCCAGCGAAAGCCAGTAAGTGCCCCGGGCCCGGGTCTGAGTGCATCCTGCTGCGTCCTGCTGGGTGCCCCCCCCCCGCCCATGGGGGCCTCGCTCTGCCTTCTTGTTCTGCAGTCACGGGTTAAATGAAAATAGAGGTGACAGCCGGGGGGCTTCAACGTCCTGCCGAGGGGCCCGTGGGCTGGGCCTTGGCCTCACGGCAGCTGAGACTGAGCAGCTGTGATCTGTCTCAGTGAGAACCCACCAGGGGGACAGGCAGAGGTAGTGGGGAGGAGCAGCCAGGGAGGGCTCCACTGCAGGGGTGACATCAGGCGGGGGACAGCCAGCAACTTCAGGGGCAAAAGGAGCCAGGCGGGCACCTTCCTGCAGAGGGCAATGGTGAGCTGGGTTTTCAAGGCTAAGGAGGAGTTTGCCAGGGGGTGCAGGCCCAGAGCCAGGACAAGGAATGGCCTGTGCAAAGGGCCTGGAAGCACGTGCAGCTAGAACCTCGAGGTTTTCCCAGGGCACGTGTCCTGGGACGTGGGTGCGTCTGAGCTGAGTTTCCGAGATGCCAGAGTTCTTCCTGTGGGCGGGAGGCCCCCGCGCCTGTCCTGCACGTGGGGTGGGGAGGCAGCGCCCCTGCCACACCCGACGGCTCACCTTCTTCCCATCTCCCCCTCCAGCCAGTTCATGAACTCCGCCTCCTTCCTCGTGGGCCAGCCCTGTGCGGACACCAGCTACGGCCCCACGGCCGCCACCCCCAGCTTCCTGCCAAAGAGCGCAGACTTTCCTCAGGTAGGAGACCTCAAGGCGGAGCCACCCCTCGGCCCCCGGCCTGCTGGAGAACCCCTGCCACGCCCCAGGGCGGCCGACGGCCTCGGCTGGGCCATGGGCCACATGGGTCTGTCAGGTGCCGTGGGGACGGGGCTTGTTTTTTGGGAATAGCCGGTGTGGCCTTGCCTCTCCAGATCTGTCAGAGGCGACTCCCCGACAGTGGGAGCTGGGTTGGAGGTCACGTAACAAAAGATGGGGAGCGCATCCCCGTCGTGTGTGGATTTCAGGGCCGTATCTCAGAACGCCCGATTCGTCTTTCCCAAACTGCGGCGCCCCCTCCCTGCCCGGCGAGGCCCCTGCGCTTGCTCCGTCCGGCACTGTAGCATCTCCACGAGGGTCCCCGTTCCCCGAGCCCCCAGGCCAGAGCGACACACCGCCAGGTCCAAACACCGTCACAAGCGTTTGTGTCCTGAAATTTAGGCAGCCATTTGAAAACTGTAACCACACAAGGCAAAGCAGAAGATAACATTCTATTTCCTTCTTTTGGGGGGCATGGGGTGGCTCAGCCCCACAGAGAATCAGGCGGACCCTCGCCCTCGCAGCCTTGCCCACAGGGTTCTCGCGTGGCACCCGCGTCGCCTCACGGCAGCCGGCCCTCGAAAACCAAACGCCGCAGAGACGGCTTGTCGGAAGGAGCCCAGGCGCCATCTGGGCTGGGGCCTGAGCTCTGATGCAATTGACCCGGGGCCCGCAGGGGCCAAGCTGTGCTGGGGTTCCCTCGGAAATTTAAATACTGGGAGACCAGCTGGATTCACAGTACCAGGGGTGCCCTGGCACTCAGTTTGGGAACTGTCCAGGTGGGACGGCACCTGGGGCCCATTGGGGAGTGAGGGGGCGCCAGGTGACAGGCTAGGGAGGACACGGCACAAACCGGCCCGTTCAAACCTGCTGGAGTCTTCTGGACCCAGACAAGGTCGCTCAGCCAACTCACGCCGCTGGAGCCCTGCCCCCGTCTCCGTCCCCAGGGCCGCAGCAGGACCGGGCAGAGAACTGGACCGAGGATCTGTACTGCGGGGACCAGTGTGCCCCCAAATCCAGGTCTTCCCAGATCCTCAGAACGGGACCCTATTTGGAAATAGGGTCTGCAGTTGTGATTAAAGACGGAGGTGGGATGATCCTGGCCTAGCCCGGTGAGCTATGAGTCCAGTGGGTCCTTATAAGAGACGGAGAGACAGACACACAGGACAGGCCATGTGACGACGGAGGCAGAGACTGTGCGATGGGGCCGCAAGCCAAGGCCGCCCGGGGCTGGAAGGGGCAGGAAGGACCCTCCCCCGGGGCCTCATCTCGCCCTTGGACGTCTGGGCCGTGGGAGCGTCCGCGTCTGTCCTGGAAGCCGCCCTGTCGGTGACCCTTTGGTGGGCGCCCAGGAAATGATGTGGCTGGGCCTCGCGGAGGAGCACAGGGGCTCGCTTGCCCCTCGGGGCCGCGCAGGACACGTCTGTGTCCCCAAGGCCCCCAGGGAGGGCAGCAGTGGGACAGCGACAAGGGGCCGTGGACGTGGCCCGCCAGGCTTTCCAGGCACATACGTGGTTTCTTCCACCGACCTTGGCTTCTCTTGCCCTGCGAGGTACCCCGTCTCCATGAGAGGAGGGCCCAGCGGGGCTCAGCCTCCCAGGGCACCCGGCTGTCGGCCCAGACCCTCTCCCCGTCCGCTGCGTCTCTGTGCGTTGGCTGGTCCGCAGGGCCCCCGCGGCTGGTGGCCTGGCGCCTGGCTCTGAGCTCCTCCGAGCTCTGGTTAAATTCCTCCCCGCCAGGTACGGGACATGACTCCACGCCCGACTTGTCTCTGGCGCTGTGTCCCCAGCTGGGGCCTCACCTCTGTGCGGACGAGGAAACTGAGGCACGGGGCGTTCAGAGCCCAGGGCCAGTGGAAGCCTTTGGGGGCCCTCCCTGCGGCCACCCACCCACCAGCCCCCTGGCCTGTTCTCGCTCCCCCATCTGTCTCTCTAATGCATTTGGCTCCCACTGCCTCCCCTACTCTGCCAAGAATCGACGTGGCTTCTGGAGCTGAGAGTCCCCTGGGGCACCGCGTCCGCTTCCCGCCACACGATGGGCGAGCGCTGCCCAGAGTTGCCCCTCGTTGGAGGTCGGCCGCCTCCACCCCCAGAGGTTTATGGTGCCTGTGAATGCGGCAGCACCCCCCCTCCGCCCCATCCCCCCTCCAGCACCCTTGCTGGGGGGCAGCCTGGACGCGGCTATCCCTTTTAATGCAGCGGAACCTTCTTCAAACAAAATCTTGCCCCAGTGCCGGGTGTGGGATCAGATGGACGTGAGGCCAAAGTTCCTTAAGGGGGAGCAGGCCTGAGGCCCTGTCGATCAGCCTCCTCCACCTCCCCCGACCTCAGGCCTGCCGGCCGAGCCAGGAAGAAGCCAGACTGAGCCTGGCATTCGAGGCCCTTCATCCCCAGCCCCGCCCACCGGACGCGCCGCAGACACCCTCTGTTCCTGGTTCATGGCATCATCCCTAAGGACGTCCCCGTCCTGGTCCCGGGACCTGAGGACGTGTCACCTCACGTGGCAGAGGGGACTTTGCAGATGGATTAACTTGAGGCCCCTGAGATAGGGGATGACCCTGGATTCCCCGGGGCCCAGTGTCATCACAGAGTCCTCATCAGAGGGAGGAGGAGGGTCAGAGGCAGAGAGAGACGGGAGACGCTGGGCTGCGGGCTATGCAGACGGAGGAAGGGGCCCGGAGCCCAGGACGTGGCGCCTCTACAAGCTGGAAAAGGCAGGAGACGGTTCTCCCTGGAGCCTCCGGGAGGACCAGCCCTGCCCGAACCTGGATTTAGTCCAGGGAGACCTGTGTGGGACCCCTGACCTCCAGGACCATAAGGTAATAAATATGTGCTCTTTTAAGCCATGAAGTTTGTAGTACTTTATCATAGCAGTGACTGGAAACTGATACAGCTGCGAAACCTTCGTGTGGCTCATCACTCACTCTAGAAGTGTTCCCTACTGTTGTATATGTCAGAAGGAATTGGAATGGAAAGTCCAGAGCTGGGCAGGAGGTGAGGAGTGAATATAAACCCGCAGGCCTTAACATACTTCCTGGTAACTAAACTTGAGCCCTGAGTTTCCTGGCAGCCAATGCAAAAAGAGAAAAGAGTTGACCTGTGTGACTCTTGTTGCCTTTCAGGAGAAAGCTTCTCCCCCATTTCCCTTTGGGGCATGGAGCAGTTCCCAGGGGTTGGCATCCCACCCATCTCCCCTGTGTGTGGACCGTGTTCCCAAGCCTGTGGTTGGTCTCAGCCCCGGCTTCACCGTCTGAGGTCTTTGCTCCTTCTCGTGTCACCTGGGCTGAATCATGGAACCCCAGGGGTACTGGGTCACTCCCTTGTTTCTGCACATGAGCTGACCCAAGCACAGGACCACTGGGGGCAGATTGACCACTCCACCATGTGGAGTCCCCCTTTCACAGATACCTGGGAGGGCCCTCCAGCCAGGGGGACTCTGCTCTCAGGAATGGGCTCTGAGGCAGCTCTGCTGGCGGTGACCCTCCCCGATCACGCCTGTGCTGCAGGGTGGTCCTGGCGGTCAGACCAGGCACCCACTGAACCCGCCAGAGCCTGGGACCTGGCTTCCAGTATGGGAGGCCCCGTGCCCCACGAGGTTGTCTGAACATTTAAGCTCTGACGCTCTTTTCCCCATGTTTGAAGATTTTCACGACGAGACGAATTTTCCAAATATTGTAGATTTACAGAAACGTTGCAAAGACAGTAGCGAGAATTCCGGAATGCCCTCACTCGTTCCCCCGGCTTCCCCACACGGCATATGACGTCCTGCATTCCCCTGGCCCGTCCAGTCCGATGCAGAGATTGGCCTGGTACAGCGCCAGCCGCTAAACCAGTGCGCCCGGGTGGGGGCGTGGGATGAGGCTCCAGAGAGGCCCGTCAGGTGTCGTCCTGGGAGGGACGTGCGGGGCTGTGCGGGCCTCATGGTGGGGACATGATGGCCTTTACTGCCCATGGCTGGGTGTCGTCTGCGGGGACCGTCTCCGCGGCGTCTGTCCGGGGGAGCCTGTCGCCCTCGTCGGCTTCGCTTGTGGGTTGGTGGCGTCTGTAGGAGAGCCGTCCCTCCCCTTCGTCGTGCCGTCATTTGTGTGTCAGCGGGGACTCGGGGGCTCTCGCTGTTTACTGCCCCGTCCCGCGGGGTTCCCTGA